CGGGGTTCGCGGGGCGCAGAGCCCGCGCGGGACGCGGAAGGGGGTCCCCGCGCTCCGGGGGGGCGGAGGGGCCGCCGGTTCCGGGGCGCGCGCTCGTCCCCGCCCCCCGGGGCGCCCCGCTTCCCCCCGCCGGGAGCGGCGACAAAGCGCCTTGGGGCACCTGGACGAGCCCGGCCGGTTGGCGTGGCCCGCGCGCCCGGGCGCTCGCCCCCTTTCCGTCCCTGCCCCTCGGGGCTCCGGATCCTGTTTCGCAGGCATCCAAAGCGGCTTAGGAGTTCACACGCAGAGAGCGAAAGTAGTTCGGAAGCGTCGGCTCGAGTTTACCGGGCTCAGAGGTTGCACGAGGAGGAAGGCGCCTTCCGTGCGAGCGGGGCTGCGCCGGTTCAGGGGTTTGCTTTCTAGCAAGGCCGGCTTCCCTCTGGCTCAGTGCTGCTCGCTCCGACTGGCAGCTCCCCGGGGTCTCAGAGCCCCGGTTGAAAAGGCACCAGGCGTCTCTCCTGCCCCTGCCTCTTCCCAGGTTGGTGGGTTCACATGTCACGCAGGCCAGTCCGGGCCATTCAGTCCGGGTGGGCTGGCCGGTTTGCAGCTGCGGTGCACCAGCCGCGGTTTGTGCTGGCCAGGCTGTGCCCCAGGGCATCTGGCATCAGAATTCACCTTTCCTCCCATTGTGATCATGAGCCGTTTTCGGCTTACCGAGTCTTATTTCCCCCTTCTCACCCCCCCCCCCGCCTCTGGAAGATTGCAAACAGCTGGCCGATGCAGAGCTTTTTTTGCAAAGGGAATTAGGTATGGTACAGCCCTGCCGGATCATTCCATTCAGTCCAGCATTCCGGAGCGTCCATCCCGCGGCCCAGTGCCTCTCCCAAGCAGGATGTGACTGCCTCAGCTGCCTCCTGACCATGTTCCCCAGCAGCCGGTGCACGCAGGAACACTGCCCCTGCTTCTCAAGGGAGCCTCTGAGACTGAGGCCGATAGGCATCGTTTACCCTTCTTATCCAAAAATCTGTCCAATCCCCTTTTAAAACCATCCACATTGCTGGCATCTTAAGGAAGCGAATTCCAGAATTTAACCGTGTGCTGTGCGAAGAAGACCTTCCACTACAGGGACCTGCATCTCCCTTCCTGGGACGGCCCCTCTGGGTTCCAGTGCTGCACCATGCGGGGTTTCGAAGACTTCCATCATGCCCCCTGCTCATTCTGCACTTTAATCAGCAGAATGATCTCGGGTGCCGTACACATTCCTCGCAGAAGAGTTGATCCAGTCCTTGGTTGCTTTTCTCCACACTTTCCCTACCTCTCAAATTGTCCTTGTTCAGGTGTTGCCGCCAGAACTGAACACACCAAGTGCGGTTGCAGGAAAGACCTGTGCAGGGAATGTGTGTCCTTTGGCAGTTTTGCCAAAGTTCCTTTCTGAATCTTGCCTGGCGTGGATGTTGCGCTTTTCACACCAGCTGTGCTCTGGGTCAGTATTTTCAGTCCCGGCAACCTCAAGCTCAGATCCCAGCCGTTTGTACTCAGTTGGGATTTTTTAACATTTGCTTATGTTGTTACCATTTTAATGCCCCTTCTCCAGCCTCGACGAGATCCCTCGAGGGGCCTCGCAGTCCCTTTTGGTACTGACCAACCTAAATTGGTGGGTGTTGTCTGCAAACTTGGTCAGCTCACTCCAAATTCACAATCAGTAAATAAGTTGAAAAGCGTTGTAAGTCTTTGATACTTTGTCAAAACCCTTTGGAAGTCCACGTAAACAGTATCTGCTGGATCATTGGGCTCCTTCCTACAGACACTTTCAAAGGACTCTAAATGGTTAGTTAGATAGGACTTAGCTTTGTGGAAACTACAATTATTCTTTTTCAGAAGGGCTTGCTCCTCTGTACGCTTAGGGATTCTCTCTTTAATAATTCTTTCAACCAATTTGCTCAAAACAGATGTTAAATGAGCAAGCCTGTAATTTTCCGGATCTCTCTGGATCCTTTTTTTAGAAACTGGTGTTCCAGGGATCATTTTCCAGTCCTCTGGTATGCAGGCTGATCTAAGAGCCGTGTTACATATTTTGTAAGGAGGTCAGCTGTTTCAGAATTGTAGGAAATCTGAGGCCAGTGTTTTATTAATTTTCAGTTTGTCAGTAAGGTTGAGAATTTATTTTTTTGTCAATACTCCACCTTAATTCCTCAGACTGCCTTCCTGAACACTTAACGTGAGGAACAGGCATTTAATGTCCTCTATGGTACTGTAAAGAAGGATGAAAAGAATCAATCCAGCTTTTCAGCAAACTCCTTATCTGTTTTAATACTCTTTTAATTCCGTTATCGTACAATGGTTCAACCGCCTTGCTAGCTGGTTTCTTTCTTCCATATCTAAGAAGTGTTGGCAATATGTCCCTCTGCCTCTCTTTCTCTCTCACACACACACACTCACACTCATTTCCCGCACCACATGTCATCTGCTTGAGTTTCCCTTGTTCAGGCTTGTCTTCCCTTTTGTTTTCCTCATTTGGGCAAGACTTCTGTTTTCTGCTGGACGACTTCCTCTCTCAAATGGTTGCCTTGATCCGGCCTGGCCACGCTGGTGACCTCCTGGACTTCATGCTCCTTTTCCTGGCTCATGGTCTGCATATTATCAGAGCTTCTACTATTGTGGTTTTGAGTACTCCCCAAGGCTTTTGAAGGGAGCTCTTGACTCTCCCAAGGCTTTCAAAGGGATTTAGACCTCTTGACTCTCCTTCTGATTTCCTTCTTATCTTTCTTTTTTTCAGTTCCCTCATTTAGAAACGTCTGAAGTCAAATGTGACCATGTTGGCCCTGTTTATCAGTCTTTCACATAACTATTAAATCTGATAGTTGTGTGCAGACTGTTTACATTTAGTTTAACAATATTTATATCTCTTGCAACCTGGAAACAATCCAGGCTTGTCTCTCCTTTGGTCAACTCCATGAGCAGCTGTTTTAGTGCACAGTTATTTACACCGTCGAGAAATTTAATGTCTTTGTCAGAACAGGAATGTTCATTTATCCAGTCAGTCTGGGGGCAATCAAAGACACCCGTTATTACAGCCTTGCATTTTGGAGTCCTCCTGAATTTTGTTCTGCATCCAAAGATCAGCCAAATTATTCTGGTCATGCAGAAGAGAGCATAATCCTTGGACTAAATTAGTTCTGGAGCCACAGGGCTTCAGTTGCGCAGCCTGGACCATCTAGATCATCACATCTCCTGGACTCTGGGCCCCCTCGGAGCTCCTCCTCTCATATATCCCTCCTTGTGTTTCTGGTGGAGTTCATAAATGGAGAGGAATTTATGACCATATTCCAGAGGCCATAGTTACTGTTATTCAAGCTACCCCTTCTAGTCCCCTGCAAATCACCCCGTGTGTTTATTTTAAAGAAAGCCCCACTGCTGATGCCGGTCAAAGGCAAGTGTCCGTTTCAGCTCTTGGAGCACCTGGAGTCTTGGGAAAGCCGGGCAAAGCTTGGTGTGCCGGGACACGTGGGATCAGAGAGAGGCCTGCCCCATTCCTGAGCAGAGAGCATGCTCCACTGTGCTTCGTGTCGCGTCGCCGTTTGACCGACCCTGCGATGCGTGCTGCTGCCAGGCTAAGCGAGCAAGGCAGGGGGACAGCTGTCTGGGTCAGTGCCTAGGGCGCACCTTGGCTGCCAAAGACGCTGTTTCATGACCCTCCGTGACTGCACTTTGCTGCATTTGTACAAGTCTGACTGGGTGTTTGTTCTTTGAAAAAGCACGACTGTTTTACTAATCAGTAGCAGCCTCTACCGGGAATTGCTTGGGCATTTTGCGGGGGGGGGGGGGGGGATCTCCAAGACGGTGGCATGGCCAGATGGCCAAAATGTGCCCTGCAGAGTTGTTTTGCGTCATCTCTGCTGGGTCTCTTGATTGCTTTTTTCCTTTGATTGCCAGGAGGGGGTTGATCGCCTCGGTTCAGATGACTTGGCAACCCATCGGGGTGAAATGACTGCCTAGAACGGCCTTGTGGGGCCTGGGGGTGCTTCTTGGGAAGCAGGCAATCGCCCTGTGAGACGTGGCCTGGGTTCAGATGACCCACCAACCCACTGTTGTCTAAGATGGGTCATCGTGTCACGCGGGAGAGGTCATCCCGTGCCTAGTGGGGAGAGCGGGAGATGGAAGCACTGTGAGAAAGCAGGGGGAGTGGAAGATGAGGCTGACTCGGCTCAGCAGCATACTGCTGGACCTGGGATTGTTGCTGAACTGGGGGATATTGTATTGTCTGAACTCAGCCAAGATAACAAACTATGGTGAATGATCGACAGTTCAGAACCCGAGAAGTGAGCACGGGTGTCTTCATGGGCTGCTCAGAGTTAACAAGCCGTGGCTCCTTAGCTCAGCCGGGCTCAGCCGGCACACTCATTCATATTTCAGCAGCCCTAGCGTCAGTGGAAACCCACCCTCAAGCTTCCAGGGTCGGTTCTTGCATTGTCTGAACTCACGTCTTCAGACAGCGTGTGTGACAAAGCCTCGTCAAGAGGCCTCCTGTCAGGTGACCAGGTGCCTGGGCTTGCGATTGGAGATCTTTTTGTATGCAAAGCTCCCGCTCCTCCAATTGGCCGCAGCCCGTCCTCTTAAGAAGCACACCTTGGCTTCCTCCTGGACAGCATCTGACAACGTTCTGCACCTCCGTTAGTGTTCTTGTGCCCGCAAGACCTGCTGCTCGCGGGACGGGAGAAGCCCCTGGACCAGCCCCGGGCGTGAGAGGAGATGCTTGGAACGAAGGGCTTCCAGAATGTTCTTTCCGTGGTGGCACTGTCCAGCTCTTGTCAGCTCCAGGCTGCGGCTGCCCCGGGGAATGGAGCCATCTCATGTTCCGTGGTCGTCCCTTGCCTCCAACTGGCCCTCACACAGTGGTCCTCTCTAGGGAGCCTTCAGCG